GTATATCTTTCCATCTACATATTTATCTGTTTCTATGTATGTTTCATTTATATAAGTCAATCTATCTTTATCTATGTCTTATCTACATCAGTAATTCATTTGTCTTATTTACATTCACTAATCTATCCATTTTTCTCTCTCTATTACTTGTATCGATCTGTCTTTATATTAGTTTATCTGTTATCTATTTATCAGTTTATCTGTATATCTTTTTCATACCAGTGTACATGTCTAAGTATCTATAGCTTGCGTGGGTGCATTTATTTATGAAAAAAAGCAATAACACACATACTTCCATATATATCCTATACCTCTAGGTTGGCATATGCCTTATGTAAGGAAGAAAAAAAATGGTGAATGGTAATATTTTCATTGTGGTGATTATGCTGAATTAAAATTACTACATAGTTATAGTATATCTGCAGTTTTCTATTCTAAATGTTGGTAGTTGATACATACGAATATTACATATATTTCATTGATATCCATCGATAATATATTCGACTTCTTAAACGTAAGCATAGGCGGGTTCGTAAGTATGGACAGGCTTGTAGGCAGGAGCAGGCTTGTACTCGGGGTACTGGGCCTCACCTCGTAGCTGACTCAGCCACGTACCGGAGTCGCCGTTGACAGTGTAGGCGACCTTCTGCAGACAACCGTCGGAAGCAGGACTACTAGGAACCTTGGGTGTTATAACCATCACGTGACTCCTGATGACCAAAGTAGTTGACCAAGTAGTCGACGTGAACGGCGTAGTTGAAGTCGTACTTAACAGAATCCTAAGAGTTTTAGAAAAGTAATGATCCAAATGAAAATTAATCAAACGGTATAAACAGAGTCCTTACTTACAGGAATTTGCTTGCGTTATAAGTGACCGGGCGAGCGTTTTCATAAGGCTGCAAAAGAGCATCCAGTGTAAAAGGCAACAAGAACGAGATATAATCTTTTTTGACAGTCTGAAAGTGAACACAATATTCAGATACTGGAAAAGGTACATATTCATAAACCCGCACCACTCACATACACATGCAATTTGATATATATGCACACAGACACATATAATGACCAGTAAATGTAGAAAATATAGTTGTTCGCTTTAAATATCAAGGAGAGAGGTGAAGAATCTGAACGAAAATTAATAAATCTGATGACCTGGACACTTATGGGTATTTAGAGAAAATATTAATATGTAGATATTTCTTCCCTTTTCGAATACATCTTCATACACACGCACACACGCGCATATACATATACATATATGTATATCTTTACATATTTATATGAATACATACACACACATATACATATATAATGTTTAAACAAACACATATATGTGTGTATGCGCGCGTATGTGCATTATCAGGTTAGCACATTTATATACATGGAATTACTGTAAACATATAGCTGAATCGATCGAAGGAAACTAAAGTGATAACGAAAATATTCATTAATTTGAAGTGGTTGGTCATGAATCCTTATTGCAATAACCTCACCTGCATCCAGTCCATTCATAACTTACAAAACGAATGAGTATATATGCAATTCCTTGTTTGCATATGAATGATGTATCTAAGCACACACACAAAAACGTATATTTCTGATAAACATCCTTAATCTACTTTTTATCATAATTAAAAACTGTAACAGAACCTACGGATACCGATAGTTTATGTTTCTTATAAATTCTGATTAAATAGGATCCCACTATGATAATTATTGTTAAAGCGACATTTTTTCTTTAACTTCATCAAAATTAAAGTACATGTCTCATTCATCCTCAAGAGCTTTGTCGCAGTCGCATATAACTTAAAAAACAGAGGTTTGCATAATTAATAATACCAAAGCGTATTAGAAGCGATGGTCTAATACTGAACATATATACATATATATTTCTTTATGATAGGCTTCCATTTGAACGCCTGCATGTTCACATTATACGTTTAACATCTTCACTGACCATGTGTTTTCGGTTCTAGTTTTCTTGTTAAAGTGTTGAATATATTGATACGTTATTGTCAGTAGTTGAATATTTGTGTCAGATGCACTATATAGTGTTTGAAAGTCGATGTTAAAAGGATTACAGATAATACTAGATTCGTGGATTGTTGTTTAATAAATATGTTAAAAGAGTCCTATCTAGACGTAAGTAGGGGCGGGTTCATAGGCAGGAGTGGGCGTGTAAGTGGGGGCAGGTTCGTAAGCAGGGGCTGGCTTGTAGGCAGGAGCAGGCTTGTAGGCAGGGGCGGGCTTGTAGGCAGGAGCAGGATGGTACTCGGGGTACTGGGCCTCACCCTCGTAGCTGACCTCGGCCACGTAGCCAGAGTCGCCGTTGACGGTGTAGGTGACCCTCTGCAGACGACCGTCGGGAAGGAGGACGTAGTAGGCTCCCTGTGTGTTGTATCCGTCACGAGCTTCCTGGTGACCGAAGTCGTTTCCGGAATAGTCGTCCTTGACAGCGTAGTTGAAGTCGTACTTAGCAGGAGCCTAAGAAATCGTAGAATTAGTTTGGAACTGAAGTCATTATGAATGATACACTAATTAACCAGATGGAAGTAGAAATTTAGTTTGTAACTGGAATAATAGGAAGAGATGCTTTGATTAACCAGCTATAAGTAAAAAAACTACTACTACTACTTACGTCATAGGTTGCCGGGGGAGAATAATCGTAAGAAGGCTGTGAAGGAGCAGCCAAAGCTACGGCCACAAGGGCGAGAGCGTGGATGGTCTGTAATATGACACAAAATGTATAAAAGCAATACTAATTAATATTTCTGTATTTCGATTCAACAGATATGTGCATATATATTTCTATATATATTATGTATATAATGCCCTTATGT